TTTTTTTTTTTTTTTTTTTTTCTTTTGAAAGTAGGGTTCTGCTAAGTCACTAAATTGCCCAGGCTGGCCTCAGTTTTGATCTTCTTGCCTCAGCCTTTCAGAGTGCTGAAGATAAATATATAGTAGTTCTTTTATATGTATATAACAAATCTAAGGCAACAGATTTACATTTTTTTGAAGTTACTTGAAGACTAGCTTTGATACACAGATAATGTTATTACATCTGTTTAAAGTTTCTTCCAAAGTGCTCATCTAATCGTGTGTGTGTGTGTGTGTGTGTGTGTGTGTGTGTGTGTGTGTGTGTGTGTTGCTAAGGATTGAGCTCAGGGTCTATCTTGGAGCTATGTCCCTGGGTGCCCCTCCCCCTTTTTGTGGGGGGAGGAACAAGGTCTCCCTAAGTTCCCTTTGCTAATCACTTGTGATCTTCCTACCTTAGCCTTCATTTAATCTTAAGTAGCTTTTCTGTTCCCTTTACTGACTGCTACTCTCATTTGTATGGAAATCACTTGTTTTCTAAAACAGTTTTCATTACTGTTTATTATTTTAATTTAAATTTCTTTTTCCCTCTTCTCTGGTTGATTTACTTTGCAAATATGTATTGAATTGTTACATTAGAGTCTAGGAGGACAGTGGTAGAAAAGATAACTACCCTAGCAGAACTTGAGTGGAGAGAAAAAATAATTAAGTAATAATAGGAATAAGAACATGACCAGGGTAATGGTAAGTGCTGTGAAGGTGTCTTAGTTACTTTCTCAGCACTGAGGCATAGGTTTATTCTGGCTCCCAGTTTATAGACATTTTGGTCTCTAGTCAGCTGGATCCAAGGCAAGGTGACATGGCTGAGGAGAGATAGCTCATGGCAGGGCAGCAGGAAGTGAGAGCTAGACCCTTCCAGGCCATGCCCCCAGTGACCCACCTCCTTCACCCAGGCTTCACCTCCCAACTCTACCTAGCTATACACTTATCAGTGGACTATTCACTGATGAGTATCACACCACCATGATCCACTTACCTTCCAGAAGCCCACCTATGAGCACATGAGGCTAACAAGAGGAAAAGTGTAATGAAGAAAGTGAAGACACGTGGTTCAGGAAATTTAAGCAAAACTGTGTGATAGTGGGTTACAGGTAACCTAAGTAGTAGAAACTGGATGTAAGAAAGACCAAGATTGCTTCTGAGGGATTTAAAAACTCGCAAAACTCTAGCTGGATATAATGAGGCAGGGATAAACAGAAATGAAGCAGAACAGATAGTAGGGCTATTCTAAATGGTAACAGTGCAGTACAGTATTGTACCAGTACTTATACTGAGGGGAAGACTTTTTTTTTTAAGCCCAAGGATTTTTTTCCTTTGTTTTCCCACACACCTGGTAACACTCAGCAGATTTCTATTACTACTTCTTTGTACTCCTCTTGTGTTCTGGTAATAAGTCAATACTGTTCTCTTGAAGCCATGACTAGTTTTATCGGTCTTTGGTTCAGGGTTACCCCCCAACCCCCACAATGTAGCTTTCTCTTTAGCCCCATTCCTTTCAAATTTTTTCTTGCCTTGCTCATACAGTAAATTTTACTTTGCTTATTCTGGGTTTTTTTGTTTTGCTTTGGTTTTGGTTTTGGTTTTTTTTTGAGCCAGGGCCTCACCATGTAGTTCATGCTGGCCTTGAACTCAAGGTGATCCTCCTGCCTCAGCCTTCTGAGTGCTGGGTACTTATTCGTTTAGTTAAGCTCAGTAATTACAGAATTTTCTACATTTGTGATCTCCATATCTTACTGAAATATCTAACACGTTTTCTGTCAAAGATTAGAAAATTGCTGTATAAGGAGATAGATAAATCTGAAAGAAGATACTTGTTTTGTTTTGGTTTTGGTTTTGATTTTGGTACCTGGGAAAAACAACGGAAAAGGGTTCCTTTCTCCCCACAACCCTGCCAACATGTTATTGTTTGGTCCTAGTGCTTGTGAGACAGGCAGCAGAACCACTGAGCCAAATCCCCAGTGAGATACTTTCTTTTTAAGGTGAATGAGAAATTAATTATCCTTCATTGATAGCAGATAATGGCTCTTGATATATTCTGGTAGGACATGCATCAAGTTCTGGGATTTTACTTAATACACAAAGGTACATAGATGTATGTAGCTATTAAGCATTGGCTCATTTATTCTAGAGGACTAAGAAAAGGCCACAGTGTTACCTATATCCATATTCTATAGAAAAAAGATGGTCAATATTTATTGAAGTTCTTAAATCAATCTAGATTGAATTTTTCCCTGCAATTGTATACATGATGAAAAAAAATTTTAGCAGGATTTAATATCTCCATTTTCCAGAGTTAGGATATTCTTTACTCAGAAATACAGTAGAGAGCTAAGAATTAAATATGAGTTTGATTAATTGTGAAACTAAGCTGTACTGTGTATGGTATATAATGTAAGGCTCATGAAAGTGGTGTCTCTGCCATTTACTGCCTAACTTTGGGCAAGATGCTTAACCTATTTTCTTGTCTGCAAAGTGAGCATGCAGAAAGCTCATCATGAGGAACAAATGAAATTGGGTGTATGTATTTCCTTTGTAATGCCTAAAATGCTATACAAATAGAAAAGCTCTATGTTTCAATGTTTCCAGTTAGAAGTGAACAGCAGCTGCTGAGAACTTTGACTCACTGTACTTTTATTTTGATTGACTTCTCTAATTGGTGGAAATAACATGGTGATAAATTTGAAAAAGCAAAGATTACTGGAAGATACTCTGATATTTATTTTCTGTCTACTTTCTGGCTGTTACTGTACCAGTCACTAACAATAAAGAATACTTCTTATAGATTAAGAAGTTACGATTCATAAATGGCTTGCCAAGATTTCTGACTTGTGAAAGGCTAAGTAAGAACAAAAATTACATTTCTTTCAGATTTAAATGTCTTTTCTTTTTGCTACGGAGATTGACCTTGAGACCTTGAGCTTGTGAAGCAGTCGGTGAAACACTGAGCTAAATCCCCAGCCCTTACAGATTTAAATGAAATGATGTTTGTACTATACTATTCTGTAAATTTTGGCCAGCTATGATTCAGTACAAACTCCCTTATATAGAATAACTCTTTCTCCAGCATTGTCTCAAATGTGCACCCAGTAATCATATATCATTGTATTTTTCATTTTAAGAGATATGTTAATTTTTCAGTTTAAATTTGCACATTAATGTAGTTCTTACCATCATTTTATCCTCAAGTGCTTTACGGTGTTCTCGGGGAAGGGCCTTGACGTGGCAACACCGCTTCTTAACTAACGCTTCCCCTCTCACACCTACTAACTTTGTGACCTTCTTACCCTACTGTTATGTTCTTCGCTTCCGTGGGCTACCATTCAATTTTCCTTCCCCATTATTAGTACACTGCTGCTTCTCTTTCATGTCCACAGTCTTTATTTTGAGAGCTAGTCAGTCACCCTTGCTGGGGTGGTTTCTTTGTCTGATGTTTTTAAACAGAACATCTAAACACTCATATGGTTGTCATTAAGAAAAGACAAAAAATTGACCTTAAAGTAAAGGAATTTCTCATTGGCCAAATAGCAGTCAAGTTATTATGTATCCTTACTGTTGCTCTAAAAATAACTTAGTTGTGTTGTTTATATTTGTATGTGTAACCAAACATTTAGTTGAGTAAAATATCCTTATGACAGTATTTCCTTTAAAAACATGTTTTTGATAAACTCAAAGCCAATGAGAATGTCAGAATGTCATAATTTGACTATTTTGCCATTTGTGTCTTCTCAAGAGATTATGATATGGGGGAAGAGATGTAACTCCCAAACCTGCTACATATCTGAAATGTGAGTTCATGTTCTCTAAAACTGAAGAATAGATTCTAGGAACAACAGACGTTATGAGTAGGAAAAATTTACTGAGAGAAAGAAAGCTTCTGTCTAAGACAGAAGGGGGACACCAGAGAGGGTTGCCCACACACCCTAGTTTTCAAAGATGTTTTATACAGCAAAGCCATTTGCTGAGGCAGGTACAAAGTGGGACAAAACTGTAAGACCCAATGGAAAATTACAAACTGCGCATGAGGTAGGGCAAAACCATGACCAACCAATAAGATTACAAGTAGTCACCCAGGTAATATTGATTAAATGGCGGTCAGATGGAGGAACAAGTCACATAGCAAGGGTATACAAGGATTTTCAGTGAGGGTGGGGTCAAGGATATTTCTTGGAAAGGCTGGGTTAAGAACTTGGCCCCCACCCAGGTGATGATACCTCTTTGCTTTGTTGGCTCCTTGAGGGTGGCCCTGTCTAATTGCCTACCAGATATCTAATTAACTTACCTATCTGCAATAATTATTTTGATAGTTTCACAGTATGACCCCTTCATATACTACTTTAAGGGATCAGAAGATATTTGTGTGTGTGTGTGTGTGTGTGTATGTGTGTTTATGTGTGTTTGAGGTCTGAGAAGCAAATGAGGCTGAAACTTCTTTACCTTATAAAATCTTTATTATTAAAACATACCATATTTGGTAGAATGTACCTGTTAACTGATTTTTTTAATAAGCTAAATACTGCTTGTGTTATCTGCTGGATTTGAAGGAAAAAAATTGTTCCTGATAAATTACATGCTGACCACTAAGAGGTCTTTTTCTCAGCAGTGATGAGAATGGTGCTGCCTTAACATATTAGACTTACTGGTGTTTATTTTAAAGCTCAGGATTATACAATTTTTATTTAACTGTACTATCAGTTTTCTGTTTTAATTCACCTTAATTCTTTGTCCTGAACATGTTTCCATTCCATAAAGTTTTATTTTTCTTTCTCTAATAGAAAATATTAAGATACAAATTCTACACAAATCAGTGGTTTGATGTCTCATAAGGATAAAACACAGACTTCAGAGTTGTTTTGTTGTTGTTGCTGTTTTACTGTATAGGAAAGGACAGTGAAAAAGATAATGTTTGGATTTTAGACACAGTAGGACAGAGCCTTTTCCATCAGGTCTTAGGATTTACTGTTGCATTGATTGATATTGATGGACGCTCATTTTTGCTACCCTCATGATCTCACCTGCAACCTGAATATTCGATATACAGAATGGGGAAAATATCTTCAAGAAAGATAAATACTGTCATTTTCATCCTGTGTTTTATTGTGGCACATGCATGAAGCATATCAACCTCACAAAGGATCCCTCAGAAAAATCAAAACACAGGCAGCTACATTTATGGGGCTGGGAATATGGCTCAGTGGCAAGAGTGCTTGCCTAGCCCATGTGAGGCCCTGAGTTCAATCCCCAGCACCACCATAAAAATAATTTATGAAGTGTTAGCCTTTACCCCCCTTGACTACCTTTAACCTTAACAGTGACATTCCAGATTGTTCTTGTTTGCAGAGTATATCCAAGCCATTATGATGATGGAGGAGTCTGTTCAGCATGTTGTCATGACAGCTATCCAAGAGGTACGTTGGAGCTTTGTGCTTACATTCTGTGAAAAAAGAGCAAACACAAACATGAGTTTAAATAGAAATAAGAATTTAAGAAAGCAATCTTCCTACTCCTTTTAGAGACTTTTTTTCTTTTGCTCTTTTCTTCTCTTCTTCTTTTTTGTTTTTTTTGTTTTTCTTTGTTTGTTTGTTTTTTGGGTTTTTTTAGTTTTTTGAGACAGGGTCTGACTATGTAGTTGAGACTGACCTGGAACTCACTATGTAGCCTAGGCGGGTCTCGAACTCCCAGCGATCTTCCTGCCTCAACCTCCTGAGTGCTGGGATTATAGGCATTCGCCAGCATGCCCGGCTTCCTTTCTTTTCTTACCTTTCCTCTCCTCCCCTTGATTGAACTCAGGCCCTCCTGCATGTTAAGCATGCTCTCTACCACTGAGCTACACCCCCAGCCCAAGAACTTTTTCTTTTATGTTTATAATAGAGTTTGTTTTTTTATTTTTTAAAATCGTAGTTTTTTAAGCCTCGTTTTTATTTAAAAATTAAAGATTTACTTTGCAGGGTGTACTTATAGTTATTCCTAATTTTTAAAGTGCTAGAAATAGTAGACTAATTCCTAAAACAAATAATACCTGTCTTAAGCCAACAGCCTGCCTCACATTTAATTATTGGTTTCCTGTTTAGTTAAAAAAAAAAAGTGAGTTTCAACTCCAGCACACCCAAAGCAATCTCTAGTTGAGTATTTCAAATATAAAGCCTAAAAATTCAAATAAAATACAGAATAATAACTGGTCAATGTCAGGATATTGAACTATTTTTACTCATAAAAGCAATGGAGGAAATCCTTAAAGGGAATAGAAAATTGTATATAGAGTATGAATATGTACCAGCAAAGAAAAATACAAAAGTCAAACATGAAAATGCCAAATGCAAGTAAATGTGTGATTTTTGACAATTTTTTTGCAATGACTCTGTTACTTAACACTCAGAGTTGTGCCACACTTCGTGTGAAAGGCATAGTTTTTACATCTGCCTTCCCTTCTGAAAGCAGCTCCAAGTTGAGGGTTCCCCAAGCCTCCCTCACATCTGACCAGCTGGTTTCCAATTCAAGAGTTCCCAATGCCCGCTTAAATTCTGTAATTCAATGCAAAGAATGCAAACTCAGGAATGATATTGATTTTGTTATGGCAAATAGATACAAACAATATTAAATGCATTTCTGAATTTTAAGTTTTGGTTAAGTCAAAAAGTACTGAAGTTTGAAAGGTCCCCAGATGCAAAGTTTCTGTTGCCCCTTCTCAGTGAATTCAGAACAGTACCCTCTTGACGAATCAGCCTATGAGAATATGCGGTGTTTTGCCAACTAGGTAAGCTTTGTTGGACTTTGATATCCAGAGTCTTCATTGGGATTTCATTACATATGTATGATTGACTGACCCCTTGGTTACAGTTGAAATGACTTTCCAGCCCTCTTCTTTCTGGAGATCAGGCTTATGTCAAGTGGCTCAACACATGACTGGTCTTTCTGGTGTGGCCATCCCCCTTAGAGTCATCTTCTTAGTTCATCTAAAGGGACAAGATATTCCTGTTGCTGGGGAAATTCCAACCTCCTAGGTGCTGGAGCAAAAACTAGCCAAGTTCTATTACATGGGTCCTTTGAAAAGTTGATCAAGCTGAAATCACAATGGCATGGAACTGTATTCCTAACTCCTTACAAGGCTGAGGTAAGAGTGCTTGAGCCCAGGAGTTTGAAACATAAAGAGATTCTGTCTCTAAAAAATAAAGCAAGAAGTTGATGAGTTTGTCAATGTGTGAACTGGTGAATCTTTTTCAAATGTTGTTCCTTTTTATATCATAAAAGATTTAGTTTGGTTACAACCATTAAAATACCACAAATTCAGTTACTCACAGAATCTGCTTAATTTGGTTTTAATTTGGTTTTTTTCTTTCTTTTTTTTTTTTTTTTTTT